ATATATATATATACATACATATATATATACATCCAAGCATGTAGTGTGCATTTCTTCTGGTCTGTACTTAAGATTCTTCAACTCTTCTATGATAGCACTTTTCTTGCAAAATTAGATGTCAAGATGTGTGTGTGTTTCAAGTGCATTTTTCTAGGTGAGCGGTAGAATCTTACTTTGTAACTTGTGAGTTTTCATCATCCCAGTTGCTGTTAAGACATTTAGATCTTAGTGACTAGGAACCCCGAAAGCCTTGGAAGGACTCTGGCCTGCTCCAGCATTTTTGCCACCCTCCTTCCTGAAGTCTGGCTTGAGCAAGAGCAGGCAGCCTCTGCAGCATACTGTTTTGGTGGTCTCAGTTCAGCCAGAGCCCACCCACAGCAGGAGAGAAGCCCCCTGTGTGTATCATCAGTAACTCTTTGGCCTCATGGTTTCTTTCTCACTCTGTTTCCTTTACTTGATTGCATGGATCAGGGGGGTTCACTGGGCAGATTTGTATGTGCACATGATATACAGTACTTCGCTCACCTCCTTTTAGCTCTGTTCTTCCCCTGGTTTCACATTTTTGGGGCAATGTCTATACTTTCTCATAGCCACTTCCCATTACCTGTGCTCACATGACCCCCCCAACCCCCTTCTTCTTTCCAGGGTTCAAATTCCTTCCTTTCACACTGTATGACGGTTCCATTAACTTATCTGACTTAAGCCTCTGTGTTCTCATCTTTAAAGCAGGGGGGTGGGAAAAAAACTTTAAACGTGGTTGTGGGAGCTGAACAATGAAGTGACAAAACGTGAAAGTCGTAACCCATAGCAGCCATCCAATAGATGGTTGCATCGTCTTGTCACAAAACAGAAGCTAAGTATCCTTTAGGAATTCCTTATCAATGTGATCAGTATTTTTATAGAATAAAAGCAGAAACATTTTTCCCATTTACCTAACAGAAAATTCTGAATGAACAAAAAATGATCCTTATATTAATCTGAAAGCTAAGTATCACAACATTGTTCTCTGCTCTGAACAGGAGGTTCTACGTGTAATTACACCTGTAGTTTAAAGATAAATGTATGCAGGGCACCGCAACTATAAATACACATGTTATCTTGGCTTTAAGAACATTTGAGGTACAGTTAGTGTCTAGAGGTCTAAATTTTAGTCTAGAAATAGAAATTTTCCTCTACATATATGGTGATGACATCGGTGACAGTTATACACACAGATTGTTTAGTACCTAAACTGGAAATTCAGCTTTCTTTACATTTTATTGCTGAAGTAATGTAGGGTGAGGTTGAAGAGAGAAAGACACTGAGGCAGAAAATGGAATTAGGAAAGAAGGTAAGCCTATGTTCTCTCTGTCTTCTAGCCTGAAGAATAAGTAGTGAGGACAACAAGGAAGACATAAGAAAAGGCGCCAGCACTTCTCTGCTGTGAAGACTTGTTATCGACCACCTGAAGAAGATCTTTTCTTGAACAATGAACATTTCTTACAAGGATTCACAGATTAACACGTGACTCATTTTGATTTTGGAAAGTGAATGATATTCTTTCTTTTTCTTTTTCTTTTTTTAAAATCTTGTGGTAAGTTGTATTTGGGTGAATTTAAAAAAATCTTCCTGATAACATACTTAGCACATGTTCTAAATTATAATCCTGTAGCAAACAGTTGGAGCATCATTCAGACTTACACAGAATGGAAAAATTTAATTCCCAGTTTATTCTAGATTCTTTCAGAGCATGATTGTTCTGTTGAATCCTGATGAGTGTGATATTATTCACCTCTGTCCAGAAACAAACATTCTTTTGCCATCGTGCCAACATGAGCAGATCCAGAACAAATCTCTATTATCAGTGGAAGATGTATCACGGACAAATACCCGTTCTTCACCTTCAGATGAGTATACCGGGTGTGGTGTCCAAATGACAAGAACAAGGAGGATAAACAAAGGAAGAGTCCTCATCCTTTCCTCCTGGTCACCTAAAGGACAGTTTCTCAAGGTGAAGCCAAGCCCTCTGTGCAAGCTGCCAAATAATAGCTTAGGAAAAGAGTTAGTTTGCTTGCATGATGATCCTCTTAGGCAAAACTGTCTTCACAGCAGTTGACTTTGGTCAAATCTTTCCTAAAGGCACCCAGAAGAATGATAGATCCCCCGAACAACATGCAAATAGATCCCTCTTCTGCAGTTAGCCTGGAGTGCGGGCTCTAATTTGGAGTACTGATGATTCAGAGAGAAGCGAATAAATCTTCAAGGAATGGCAGCCTTGGGTAAGGTGAGGTCCGCTGTTTCTTCCGTTTCTCATCAGAGCATTGTTGCTGAGTCCATTCCTCATCTGTGGGATGTGGATTTGGCCATTGTTCCTCTGTGACGGGGAACATTTCTGAGTGCAAATCACAAAGACTGTCCTCTAGGTTTAATCCTCAGCAGGGACCACGATCGGTGTCCTGCCGGCTGATGACAGGAAAGCACATGGAGCTTCTGTCCAGGATGCCACCAGCATTCCAGCTGGGATGGAGCTGGAATGGCCCTTTGTACCTGGTGGCCACAGAAACGGACTGGGGACTGGGTTTTCTGGACATGTATTGCTTTCCATGGAGAGCTGAGGTGGTTGCACGTCAGTGAGCAACAAGCACAGTGACAGATGCAAAGTGTTGCTGCGAAGGTGCCTGTATCTGTGTCTGGAAAGGGGCACTGTCCCCAGCGGAGAGGCCGCCCTGAGGGGGCCAGAGCTGGCAACGCCTGTGCCTGCAGGGAGGAGCGGCCACGTGAGGCTGCACTGTGGGGAGGAAGGAGGTTTTGATGCGGAGAAATCTATTTTGCTGTTTTAGAAGCACACACCGAGCTGTAAACCTCTAGTGATGGCTTGTCTTCGAATGTATAAAATAAAGCTTTATTTGTTATTTCTGCTGTAAAATAAGCATTGTCCAAGTTAAGGAAAACAAATATTTGTTTCTGTTTGTGTTAGTGACTGAGCTCACACCCTGATGTATTGTGTTTATGTTTTAATAACCTAATATAGAAAAGCTTATGAACGTGGATTTCTTTTGCTTTACAAAGAAGCCATGCCAACCCCTTTATAGATGAGCTTCAGCTATAATAATCAGATTATTTCAGAATTTCTCATCTACTACCATTGCTCTTTGGTAATCTGCCAAGGGAAAGTGAATATCTTGCCAGAGGTTTTGTTTGTTTGATTGTTTTTCGGTCTTTTTATTTTTGCCTATGCAGATATGGGAAGTCATCCCTAGTGAACCATAGAACTAACATTTCCAGCTCTGTGCAGAAAGGGCTTATAGATGTTCTTTGTATTTTGGAAATTCTTGAATAGAAACATCTCTACTTGGGAGACTAGCTGTTCGTTTTCCTTTCGTTGCCCACTTTGGCTGTGTGAGGCATACCCCTCTTTCCAGTTTCATTCTGGCTGAATTTGAGTGGGATATAAAGTAGATGTTTTCAAGTGACTAATAAACGATGGTGAGGAAGGAAATCAGTGTGGACCTGGTTGCATCCCTGTCCCGTGGTCCACTCAGTCCTAAAGCTTCCCTAGTTGAGGGATTGTCTCTAAAAATCTCAATTCAGGGGAATTTAGGGAGAACTCTATCCATTTGGAAGAGAGTCCTTGGAACAATGGTAACTAAGCTAATCAAGTCCTGTCCATTTGAAGTTTTGTTGCAGTAAAGGAAATAATGATTCGAAATTAACACACAAGCCTAATAGATTTCTTATATAGGAGTGAAAGTTCTTCATTTTTAAAGGAAAAAAAATTAAGTGATTGAAACAGTCTGTCTTCTGTGTTGTTCTTGGTTTGGTGTTCCTGGAGATTGAGCTCAGGGCTTTGTACGCGCTGGGCAAGCATTCTACAGTAAACTATCCACTCAGCCCCAGTCTATCTTCTTAAACAGATAAATCACTCCTTCAGTCCTGGCCATGCAGTTCAAATTTACTGTATAAAACAGTTCCTTCTCTTCAGTTCAGAGATAAGCTGCAGGCTAGCACCTGTTCCCATGGCCTCAAATACCATGGTAGTGAAACTCAAATGGATGAGCTTTGCTTCTGTATAGACCCTACAGCCCAGTGAAGTAATAAATGTGATCATAAAGCAGTCTGCTAAGTAGTAAGGACTACAGTGATTCCTTTTGCTAATAAAAATCATCATAAAATTTGTGTGCTATAGCTGGACTACAAAGATCAGCTGGATTTGTTTTTCATTTGCCTCTTGGATGACACAGAAACATAAGTTAGATCGTAAGAATTTTCACATCTTCCTATTGAAGTGGCTATATTGGGCCAATCAGATCAAAAGAAAGAAAAATAGGAGCTACACCAAAAACATGTGAGTTCTCCTGAAAAGGAAGACTTGAGCCTGGGTGGTGAAGAGGGGCCGTCACATTTTTTTCCAAAGCTGACCTTTTAGGGTAATATTTGGACAGTTGAGTGTGAGTACAGACTATTATAACCCCGGTAATATAATAACCTTTCCAAACTGCCATGGAATAAAATACCCTGTCTATGTTCCATCCAAGCTAAACATCCATTGTTCATTGGATCAGTTTGTCTAAGAAATTGTTTTTCTTTTATCAGCAGAATAAGAAGGGTCTGGTCAACATTTCATTGTGAGAGCAGATTCTTTTTTCTTTTTCTGGTTCTTAAAAAGTTTGTTCATACTAAAGGCATGCTGAACTACCTCATAGGTGTGTTGTGTGATAGCTAATTAATAAATTACAAGTGCTTCAAAACCTAATCTGTATATGCATGCTGCCTTAATTTGTTTCCTAGCTTAAGATATGCATGTCATATCATGTGGCAGTGTCATTGCCATATTCACGTTTATACATTCGGCTTTAAATTTGAGATGCAAACCGAAATGCAGTCCTGGCTTTCTCAGCACAGACCGAGCACATAAAATTCAAGACTGGCAGATAGAACATGTGGTGAAACACATTACCTAGAAGCAAAACCAAGAAGTATTTAAATTCTCAAAGGAGGGAGTCAGGATGGATTTTAAAGAGTGCTGAAGTAACTTCATAGGGTAATAGTGAAGAGGCCCACATTTGTCAAGGACTCATATAAAGAGATAGGGCGGGTTTAAGTTTCTGCCCATGAAATAATCTTTACTTGCTTCACATGTGGAATAAAAGGTAAAAAGAAGTCACAGGGAGCCTATATATTTCCGAATGCTGCAGGAGAGGCTATACAGGTGGTCACTTGCCTTCACTGTATCTTTCCAGAAAAACCATCAAACACTGTTTGTTGGGTTTTTACTGTTTGTAATAGATGTAGCCTAAAGAGGAAGAAATGGAATTAATATCTAACGATTTCTTAATAAGGTAATGTAAAGGCTCTACAGTAACATCAAAAAACAATTTTACTGCTGGTTCTATTTTGCTGCCGATTTCCCCATATGACTAATTATTCCTTAATCACTATTGTGACAGCAGTTTTATTTGGAATTTCAGATATCTCAACTTAATTAGTAATTCATTCTGACCTTTAAAAATCACATTCTGTAGTCTCGGGATTATAGGAGAGGAGGAAAACCAGCCCCCAGCCCCCGTTAGCAGGTTCCACTGTTTCTGAAGAGTACTTGTCTGCTGTCACGTGCAGACTTCTAGGTCAGAAGGATCCGCCAGACTAAGGCTGATTCAGTGTCAGAGAGAGGAGATAATGAACAGTGTCACATGTGTGACTGGTAAAGTTTATTTTACTGAAAGAAAAAACTGGAAATCACTATACAGAACAATAAATTCCCCTACTGCGTGTCTGCTTGCAACTCTCTTTCAAGAATTCTCTCCAGTTTTCTATGTGAATTGCTGTTCTTTGTGTAATTCAGTGTCTGATGACTGTAAAGACCTCCACATGTGAGCAGTTTCAGGTTTCCATGTTGTCATCACATCAGTGGCCCAAGTTTTTGTTTTGAGATAAAATTTTAATGCACACTGTCCTATATTGTGAAGTCGTCTCTGCTGTGAGGTGAGGTGTTAATCAGGCCCCAGTGTGTGTGCTCATGATTTTACTGCTGACCTCCAAAGAATTGCCATGCTAGGTCAACTCCATCTCCATAAGCCCACAACTCTGGCTGTTCAGAGCATAGGGGATAGGGGTCTGTAGGCAGAAAATTACATAAAATAAGGTCCTCATCAGGCTTTCTGGCCAATCCTGACTAGAAAGAGCTAAAACCTTACCAGAGAAATAATTAGCAAGACAAGGGAGGACTAATAAACAAAGCAGAGAACACAAGTTAGCAATCCCTCCCCACTTTAACAAAGTACAAAGGAGAAAAGGAATTCTCTCTCTCTCTCTCAATATGTATAAATTCATTCCCATGCTAGGGCCATTATATTACTTTACAGATTCCCTTAATCACTGACTGGACCTGGTATGTAAGAGCCTTCTAATCCCAGAGATAATGCTGTGACAAGGACAATCAGGCCCACTTAGAAATATGCACATAGACAATGTGCAGGGGCCTGAGATCCCCTATAACAGTCCAGAGAACCAAGCAGGTTGTGACAGGTTCCAGATATCAACCCGGGAGGGAATGTTTCCCAAAGCATGCTAAAAGAAAGCTGAGGACAAGAACCCATGGGTATCTGGGTCTGGGTCCCCCACCTTCTTACAGGGTAGCTTTCTGTTCCCTGCTTCTTTTCTTTCTTACAAATAAAGCATTTTTGTTTCCCCTTATATACTTGGTTCCTTTATTTATTACTAGTGCTGGGTTTATGATCCCAGCTGCTCAGACCACAAGCTGTGCTGCACATCTCTGGACCCAAGAGTCTCAAAGAAGCTAATAATAGGAAAGTAGGATTAGCTTCCCTGATGTTAGTTTCAAGGAAATTATCCATGCTACAGTTGTATAAGCTGGGCAGTACAAATATTTCCCTGTCGTCAGAATGATCATCTTTTTGGCTGAGCTTGAGAATAACGGAATAAGGGTGAGCAAGGCACAAGTAAGGTAATCTCCATGGATGTGCACCACGGGCATAACCGTCCATGTCTCGGGAACAGTGCCTGCTCCAGAGAAGACAACTGCTGGCTCCGGGCACCCACCGCTGGCTTTAGGAGCCTTGTACACGGCTTACATTTCCCTGTCTTCTTGTGAATTCATTCTCATTACTTGTTAGCTCTTCTTTGTACCTTTCATGGTGCTTGGCCCACGGGGCCACATGTTTAGAAGTTTGGGGTGTCTTTTCTGTGTGACATTGTTTATACCACTCTTGCCTAACTAGAACATACTGCTATAAAAAAAAAAAGTGATTGGTAAAGCACAATAAAATCTCTAAGAATCATGCAGATCTTGGAAACTATCTACTTTGGGGGCTTGTTTAAAGGCAAGAAGTATCTACTTTGGATGACATATGCTCTAGATATATTTATTAAAGGTATGTTCTGCCTTGTCCCCTGCTTTGCCACTTAACTTAAGGCCAAATCCACCTCCATAGCCTGTGCCTTTTCATCTTCTCCCATCTCTGTGTCCTGAGGAGTAGACACTGTAATGTGATGAAAGTTTATTGAGTTTACTTCACAAGCAATTTGTGGGCCTCTAATGAAATGATGTCCCCCGGGCTACTTCAGAGACATGCACCTTCTAGAGTGCAGCAGTGTAAATGAACTAAATATATTGTTCCCACAGCCACAGGTTCAAAACCTGCCCAGTTTCCTGTGTCCATGGTGAGCTTTCCTTGGTATGAACTTGGCCTTGGTCTTTGTCTGTTTCTACTTAGTGACCAGTGTCACAGTTACTGTAGGGGTTTCTTTTCTGCATATGCAATGCGAGAAAGAGTACAGTCCCTCCTGTTTCGAAATGCCTGATGTTATCTGACTTATTGCTGGGATATGAAGAAAGTGAGTCATTTTTCCTTTGAAATTATCTTCTCTGACCAAAGTTCTTCTGAGAATAGAGATCAGAATCTCTGGAAGAAAAAAAAGAAACCAAAATTTCTATGTTTTGCAAACTCTTGTAATGCAAATTATGGCAAGTAATAAAGGAGTTTATATGTTTGTCATCCATGCACATATTACTTCCATAGTTATTTATTGGGTAACAATTCCAGACAAAGAGTTGGCTATAGAGAAAATTATGTGGAGTCAGAAAAGCCTGGATTTAGAACATGGTCGGTGCTGTGATTCATTTGCTTTGTGATCTTGGGGGAGTTACATAATTTTTCTGAGGTCCGTTTACTGTGGTTTGAAGTGGGACTCAGAGTTTGCTTCTTACCTAGTCGTGAAGATTTAATAAACTGTGCAACTATGAACATTTGAGTTGCAAAATTTCCCAAATCTAAATGGGCCTTGCATTTTGTATTTTAATGCTTTACATTGTATATTCATGTATAAGGCTCACTCTGTCCAACCTACACATGAACCCATCTTAGAAATACTCTGACTTCCGAACATCCTCCGGGAAAAGAACTCATTTTTGAGTGGAAGATCCGCTGTATTCCTTCCTCTTCCCTCTTCTTGACCATATAACTAGTAATTGTTCAGTGTACATAAAACTATTCAGTGGGGAGCTGGAAAAGACCTTTGGAACCTGCTTATCCGTCTCCTTCATTTTATTCACTCTCATTTTAAAAAACAGCGGGATGAACTAGAACTAATGTGAGAGAAGGTCACTGCTGGGGTAAATCCTACAAACATAACTTCCCAGAAACACTAAAATCAGAGGTCTAGAAGCAGTCACTGAATCCCCCTGCGCACTTTCTCCTGTCTCACCTCCCCTTTCCCTGATTCCTGCTTCCCTTCCTCTACTGCTTGCTGTCTTCAGGCTCCATGCTCCTCTGCCCATCAGTTGGGCTTTTAATCAGTGCAAGAACTTCCCACTTGCAGGTGGCTACAGGCCAGCTGCTCTGATACTGGATTTTGGAGCTGCCAGCTAGGACAGCTCACGGCCTGTTTTGCTCTAGTCCAGAAGGATCAGACATGTGACTCTTCCGTGTATTTCCAGAGGCACAGCAGAGTTCAGCCTGTGTTCTCCTATATTTGTATGGAGTGTACATGCATATATACATATAAATAGGAATCTATTTCCAACATTACCTTTTTTTTACACTTTTTTTGTTCTTTGATAGGATGCGAGATGAACAGCACAGCTGTGGATTCTGCCCCTTTGTTCTTTTGTCTCATGATAGAAGCCATTTAACTGTAAAAATGAAGCTGGATTTATGGCTGCCAGTCTATTTGAGTGGTAATAAATGTCAGACAGACATTGCTGCGTCATAAACTTCCAGAGTTTGAGCGTAACCCACTACATAAATCAGCTTACTGCTTATGAGCCCCCTATTTCAGAAAACTGGTTGACTACAAACGGACTTAGAGATGTAAGACCCCAGCTTTCTCAATATGTCTGACTTTTGGCACCCTAATATTTTCCTCATTGTTTTGCATTAGCATTCTCTGTCTCTGGTCAGGAATCTACCTTGTAATTCAAGGATTTCTCAACATCATAGATGCTGGAGAAGCAGGCATGGAGTTGAGGCAGTGGGTAAGAGACTGGTAAGGGGTTGGAACATGCTGATTTCTGCTCAGTTTTGTTGGAGGCATAACAAGTCTACAGGTTCCGAGCCAATGAGAGCCTAGGTTGGCCATGTGTGAGGTGTGGAAATGGATAGTGCTCTTCCACCTGTAGCCTGCTGGGCCTGAGCTGCTCAGACTGATCTCTGTTCACATTATTTGCTGGTAATATCTGGGTAACTCTGTGCAGAGTTCTGGCAGATACATTGTTCTGCCCAGAACCCTCCTTCCTGTGCCTCATTCCTGGAGCCTGGTCCCTACGAGGAAGCTGTATTTATTTCACCAAACCTTTGGTCCTGACAGTTTGTCCTGCTGACACCTTTCTGGCAGGGGTGGACCCTGTTCCTCCATCTGGCTCTTTGGTGCCGGCTGTCCTTAGCTTGCAGACAACCCCACTAGGACAAGACCATGATAGTCCAACCGGTGGAGGGGCAGGGGTGCAGTTATGTGGTGTGCACGTGGGTTCCACTGGTCCATGAGTCTGACGATGTTAATAGTTCACAGCAACAATCACACATGCAGTCGAAATTCTACTTATGGATTAGGGTCATCGGGATGCAATAACAAGAAGGGAGCAGAAACTTAGGAGGCTGGCATTTTAGCTATTTTCTGCCCATGGAGAGAACTGAGCTTGTATAAAGCAAGCTACTTTCCTCCTTTCGGGCCCAACCCTTTGGGATGATCTGGGGGAAGAAAGGTGGAGACAGTATTCTAGTTACTGTATAAAATTTGAAATCAGTCGAATATTAAAGACAGTGACTTTCAATGTGAATTAAAGCAGCCCAGGAGAGTGCATGTAGCTAGATCTGACAAGGGTCGTGCTGTGACCTGATCTCATTAAATGGTGTTTGTGGTGTCTTTGCCCCAGTGCCGCACTACCGTGAGCTCCTGTAGGCATCCAGTTTCCAGCATTTGACCCCAGTCCTTCAGCTGCAGTGGGAAAATGTTCTGGCTCCATTTCTACTCACCTCTCATATTATTGTGCTGCGGGCTCAAGAGCTCTTCGTATCCATGAATGTACAGATGTCCAGTACATCCCTGCTTTTCGCCGACAATGACAAAGGCAATTTAATTTTGCCACCAAATATGTTACAGTTTTAAACAGTGAAAACAAAGAGTTTGGAATCTGGAATTGAGCCAATGGGTAATTTGAGGCAGCAGAAGGGAATCCTTCCTCCTCAGCCTAGGTGCCTCATAAATGCAGATGTGTGTTCAGGTACCTCTGGCCTCTGTCTGTGCGATTGCACAGTCTACCCACTGGCTCCTGAGAAAGCAAACAGCACGCTCCAGAGGGCCCATGGGTGGGTGGGAACAGCATCCCCCTCCTGGCAGCAGCTGTGCTAGAAAGGTGTGCCCAGGAGAGAACAGGCCAAGCAGCCGGTTCCCTCATCACAGGCTGAACCTGACAGGAGGCAGAGGGAGGTGCAGACGTCCACACCCTTGGGCTTAGTGCTGCGGGCCAGCTACTGTTCCCTCCAATCCCAACAGGTCTGAGCAAATGAGACTCAGGGCTGAGAGCCGGAGCGGGCTGTCTGCGGTGGCGGAGCATGCCCACTTAGTGCTGGAGAGCTGAGGAAACAATGGAGATGAGGCTTTGGAACAACACAACACGTGGCAGAAAAGAGTCAGCCGGTAATAACGGCAGCCCCAGGCTGGGCGAATGCTCACTGCGGGGAGAAAAGGCTCTTGTGTAATAATGGTTGTCAGATGGGGGAATGTAAATAATGGGGAGAGATTAAATTGAATATTTGACAACACTGAAATCCTGCAAGCATGCATTGAATTTTCATGTTAAAGAGAGAGAGAGAGAGAGAGAGAGAGAGAGAGAGAGAGCTTTATTTAAACAGAAAACCTGAAAAGGCTTTAAAAAATTTCTTTTTATCTCTTAGTAGGGCAATTATTGTCTCTGTTCCTCACAGTTGGAAATAACAGATTCTGTCTCTTTTGTGATAAGGGGAAAAAAAATCCCTTGGAAAAGGATGTTTCAGGAGATGACTCGAGCACATTTGCTTCTAAAATGACAAGATTGGCAAACGGCCCATCGTCACATAAACGATCAAAGGACAGTGTTCCCAGGAAGACTGGCACCAGAATTGTTCTCCTTCCTGGGTAGGTGAGGAGGTGACGGGGACAGGATGGAGGCATGCATAACAGCGTTGGCACACAAACCTCTCCACCCCTGGGGGAGAGAGGAAGAGAAGGTGGAGTGGAAAAACAGAATTCAGGAAGAGTGGGACATCAGGAAAAGGACAGAGTATGGGCTTTTGGATGTTTGTTTAGTAACTCATTACTAAAGAGGCTAAATGAATAACTGAACTTCCTCTTGTCACCAGCCTGGGAACAGGCAAACAGATTGTGTGATCATCCAGTTTACCTGCTTAGGTCTGTGAAAAGCACAGGCTCCGTGTTCTAGACCCAGTTCTGCCACCAGCTCTGAGACTCTGGGAAAGGCCTCTCTACAAAGCATGGGGATGATGTGCAATGACCTGTCGTGTCTTCCTGCTGGACAGCTTGTTCTGGCCCATTTTCCTGCCTGTTCCCTGTGTCAGAATCGAGCCCCACCTTCTCTAAGGGTGATCCTTTGCTCTGAGTCTCTTGAGTGTACACACATCCTCGGGGCAGAGAATCCAGAAAAGAGATGCAGAAGAAACCCTTGACAGCCGGAGCATGATGGGGCTTGTCACAGCCCATGTGTACTCCTGGTAAGACATCCGGGATCCTCAACCTCGGATGTCACCGAGGATGTGGCAGCAGCTCAGTCTGGATAGAGACTAAGAAAGCTGACCGAATGGCAGAGGCTGTCACAACAAGAGTGGCTTGAAGGGCCATCAAACAATTTCCACACAACCCTGCCAACTCAAGTGTGGTTAAGAAGAGTTCCACGGAGGGGCACAGAGTCTGGACATGGATGTGTGAGAAAAGACCAAGTGGTAAATTCAAAGCTGCCAGGAAGAGCTGGAGAGGAGCTGAACCTGCCCATCTCGATGAAACAGGACGAGCTGGTCGGGATGACAGGGGGTGTCCTGGACTTGCCAGATCTCTTCAGCTGGAGCCTAAGTGTGGGTGCTAGAAAGGGGACCTAGACTGTGGATCTGGAGCAGGCAGCAGGGACTGGAGCATTTCAAACTGCAGGCTTTAGATTGATCAGGGCTGTGCGAGATCTAGAGCCAAGACGCAGTGCAGATGTGGAGACCCCACAGAGTTGGAAGCCAGAAAACAGAATGGAGAATGTGGCTCACTAAGGTTCTTCCCTGAGAGGGAGAACCAAGTAGACTAGCGAGCCCACCAAGGTGAATGCCACAGAGTGCATCCGGCTCCCCCGGCAACCACAGAATTCTGCCTGGGAGCCA